CGCAGCTCTGCGCTTTCGTTGCCGTTAAAGCCCGTAACTCTGAAATTCGGGGTTGGTACGCGCCGAAGAGTTCTCCCAAAGCGTGCAGATCCGTACAAAGGGGAACTTTTAAAAAGGAAAGAAAGAAAATTTTTTAAAAAGTGTGTTGCTTGACCTCGCCTAGGTAGTGGAAGTAGAACGAGGGGGAGTGAGAGCCGGTGTGAAATGAGAGCCGGCTGTTTGCCCTCCGAAGAACAACCGAAAGCTTGTTTTCTGTTTGTTTGCTTCCCGATCCCCGAGTTGCGACGAGTGGCTGGAGGGAGGGTTGTACTCGTGTGTCTGCAGGCTGTTACCACTGAACCGGTCGATTGCAGCGCTTCAGCGTCCGCCCGGCCAAGCCGGTGGCAGTGATCTGTAGCATAGCGCATTCTTTATTTAGAAGAATCCGGTAGAAAAGCTTCCTCGACGCAGTTAATGTGACTGTGGTTGCTGAAGGGTTGTCTCTGTGTGTGCGTTTATAAGTCCGGGAGATGCTTACATGGATTTGATTGAAAGACGCCCTATTGCTCTTCTAGGCAAGACATCTGTATATTTGTGACTTCCACAAAAACTTAATTCAGAGTGTGAGAAATAGAAGAAAGAGGAAAGGCAGCGATGATGATGGCGACTCACCAGTGCAAGACATCGACACTCCAGAGGTAGCTAAGTAGTTGGGGTTTTTTTTCTAATTGTTGTGTTAAGCTTGTACTTGACAGCTACCACGTCTGCACAGATACCACTTTTCCACCCTTGCAGCTCTCCTTATTTTGGGGCACGCGAGGAAAGAGAAGACTCGTGATTCACTCAGTTCTTAACAAAAGCTAACTGAATTTTACAATGTATTTTCTGTACTGATAGTGCAAAGTAGAACGAACAACTCTCTAGCTTTTTAAGTGTCCGCTAGTTCTCTCTGAAAACTGCTTTTTTCAACTTTCTCGTTATTAGTGCTTCCTCTCCAGCATCCTACTAGAAGAGGTACTTTGCTACATATCGGCACAATCTGTCTTCTGCAGGAGTTGACAACTTGAAGGGAATTGCACATAGGACTTGGGATATAAATGCTTCACTGCCCCATCCCTCTGATCCTTTCCTTCTGTCCTAAATGTGTTGCAGATGGCTCTTGCAGTTACTCCATTGCCTTAGTCACGTTAAACAGAGAAAGTTTAATGATAGTAGATCTTTGTTTTTATCCCATGTTGGGGGAAGAAAAGTTCAGGGAGCTGTGCTAGAAAGGAGGGGAGAGGGATGGTGTTTTTCTCCCGTTTTCTCTGCTGCAGACCAGTGAAACCTCACCCATTACGAAAGTGAGCTAGAGCTTTCAAACCTTTTGCATAGTACAGTGGGAGAGACTGCACCTAAGGCTCTTTTTCCTACTTGTGCTTTGGGTTATTTCTGCTACAGCCTGGCTTAGCAGGTGCTGTTCAGTGTGTTAATTTTGAGCAGAGCCTGTCATGCCTACCTGGTCCCTTCCAAGAGGGATTTTTAAAGCATTCTTAAGCAATTGCTCCGTAAGTGTTAATTTAATGACAACCTTATGGTCAGCATCTGCAGATACCAGCAATGCAAGTGATGAAACTTTGTGCAAGAATCTGTGCCTAAAGGCACATGGCTCCAGTCTGAAGGCTAAGAGGATCCTCTAAGAGGATTTTAGGGGATTGGGAGTGGTTTGATGCTGGGCTGTGTTGTTTGTCTGCTAAATATGTGGGATTGCTTCTTTGAAAGTTCTGTCTAAGGCTAATGTTCTCTGTGGCTTCAGGTGGCTCCTTGGCACAGTGGTAATTGCAGCTGTCCTGCAAACCTGTTTGGTTTTCTCATGTGAAAATTATAAAATGTGTCACAAGCGATGGATATCTCTAGAACAAGAAAGCAAGCTTTTTTAATGGTATTACAGCAGGAAAGAAAACTGCCTGGGAGGTGTTTTTGAGGAGTTTCAGCTGGCTGTTTGGACAATGGCAGTATGTTCATCCCATGTGACTACGGTGTGCCTCTGATGCCCATTGGCTCTTGACTTTCTTTATTTTCAATTGCTATCCAGTTTACTAAGGAAAAAAAAATCCTTCTTCTGACGACTTGCAAGGCCTTCCCGTTTCCATCTCGGTCATGACCATCATTACCTGTTAGAAGTGATTCCTGTGGGAGGGAAAGAGGCTTCCACAGTACTGGTAGCTTCAGGGACTTGGTGGAAAGCTGCTGCTCCTCCCCTGCGTGATGCTCTAGGGTGTGGGTTCTCCACTGTGACTTGGGAAGTGGAATTTGTGCCATGTAAACTTCAGAATACCAAAGGATACCTACCCATCCTCTATCGTGCAAGGCAGCATCATGTCAAGGTTGGCCAGGTTACCAAGCATGCAGTAGCGCTGCTGTTGTTTAAATATTCCATAGTCAAGGCTGCTAAATGAGTTTAAAATGGAAGTGGATGCCTTAAGAAATCTTCAATGCAGTGAGTTTGGAGAATACTACTGTATCTAGTATCTGCAACTGATCTAGCAGAATTTCTCATTCAGCCTGCTTTCTCAGCTTGCTTTCCCATTCAGTCATCCGATTAAGCTCTCTTACATTGTCAAGGAGGGTGGGAAGGTAAGCTGTGGCTGGGAGAAGTGACTCTTGATCAGAGTTTGTGGGATTCAAAACTGAGGGAGTACTGGGTTAAGGTTGTATATTTGTATTCCTGAGAGGACCTTGTGCAATTCTTTCAACTGTCAACTCGCATTGAAAAACAGTTTTGGACAACTATGCCTGTGCACGTAACTCCTGCGTTGTGCTTATGTAGCAGGGATATGTTTGGAGAGCAAGAGCAGCTGTTTTCTTCTCTCACCTCAAGCCAAGAAACCTTTGCGTTCTAGACTTTTTCCTGGTTCTAATATGTGCTGACGGTTCAGATGTGCTATATCTTGCATGCCACTTGTGTAAAATTTGATGGCTGAAATCACACAGTATAGGGGCCTCCTTTGAATCAGCATCTTCGTAGATGTTGTATGAAAGTTGTTACTGGGCTTTTGTGTTACCCCGCTCGAACTGGGAACAAACGAAAAACCCAGAACTGATTAAAGGACAATAATGAGTTACAAATATTGTCCACTGCTAACGGGAGGCAGAGCCGTGCTCAGTAACAATAAAATGCTCTTAAACTGAACTGGGCTGTTTTCCTTTCCACTGGAAGGTGTGGGGTGGAGGGGGTTTTTTGTCAAAATGAGATCTGCTGAGCTGATGGTCTATGCTTGTGTATCCGTGAGACTCCAAAGTGTTTTTGAGAGGCCAGCTATAAATGACTGAATCCTTTTCAGTTACATTAGATTATTTTCCCCCCCCCCCCCCCTTTCTTCTAGGTTGATTTATATCAGTTACAAGTAAACACACTTCGAAGGTACAAAAGACACTTCAAGCTACAGACCAGACCGGGACTTAACAAAGCACAGCTCGTTGAAGTATGTATGAGTGTTTGTTCCATAATAGAAAATGCAACTTGCTTTGGCATGTGGTTTTCTGTGCAATGTGATCCTTGCATAAAGAGCATATGTAATCTGGATTTTATGAGAACAAAAGGGAACTGCTTATCTAGTTTCCTCCATTGGCCACAGCTCCTAAGCCAAGTAAATCAAAAGTAAAAGTCCTTTCCAGAGGAGGGACTCAACTTCCGAAAGGAGTGTGTGCTGCTTAAAGACACAAAGTGTTGGGCTGGAACAGTAAGATGATCTGCGTGTCCCTGAATATCGTAGAATCATGGATTTGTAGTCTGTGTGTCAGTCACACCTTCATTCGAAGTGTCCAGCTGAAAAGAACTAGAAACTGAGAGGCAGCAGTGAAGTTCCAGCAAGGTTCAGACTTTGCTTTGAAAAGGTAGTTACTGCAAACATACATGTTTCTCCATATGTAAACTATGGAAACCTGAAAAACAGGCTTCTATTGATGATTAATTCTGTTAATTAAAACCACTGGCATCTGCCATCAGAAAAATGCAACTTTATGAAATTAGGTTTTTTTCTTACCAATATTTCTAAAATTGCTGAAGCTGCGTGTAAGTGCAGCTGTATGTAAGCATCTTTGCTGCATGTGACTAATTTTAAAAGAATACTTCTGCGCTGCAAAGATGCAGTTACAGCATGCTGATGGAAATACATGGGAGAACCAGTGATCTCTTAACAGGGAGGTATAGCTACCGTTTTTTCACTTCTGTGCAGCGATACACCCAGTTTTACTTTGGTTTGACATTTTGTTGGTCTCTCCCTTAATCTGTGTGGATTAAAGGCAAGGTTCTTAAAAAGGCTGAGCTGCAAAAGAATAGTGCTGCTGCCACTATGATTAAGAACGTAAAATGAGTCTTATGGTTTTTTTCTATGTGAGCTGAGGTAGAGCTAGCTCTTGAATTAGCAGGACTGTGATTTGAAAAAGCACAGCTAGTTTTTGTTCTGCAAAACTAGCATTTCTAAGGGTCTGCTTTAGGTGCATCTCACGAGGTATTTGCGCTAGCTTATGCTTCTTACGCTGTTTGATGTGAATAGGCAAGGCTTCTGCCGCATGCTTTGTTTGACCTGCAGGTATTTGTGAGCCATAGCTGCAGAACTTCCTTAGTGTACAGTGCACGTGATTCCTTGTAACCTGTCCTAATGTACAATAGACACTCCTCTAGCTGTTGCTTAGAAGTGCACTTTAAAGGACTCTCAAACTGTTTCTCTGAATTTTTTGAGGGTAGGGTTTGGAAACCTTTCTAACTTGCTTAATTATGCTAAAATTTATACTTAAACCCTGTAGTAGTTAAGTGAGCAGTCCCATTTTTTCTGACTTCCACTTGGTAATTCTAGTCTACCAAAGTATTCTGCAAAAAGCCTGAGAATAGGCTTGAGCAGGTATAATATTTTGAGTGCTTTCTTTTAAAGTTGGTGTTCATTTTGATGAAGGAAAAGACCTCTGACTTGAGAACTGTTTAGAGATTGTCATATTTTAGTACTTACAGATGGTGAATTTCCATCATTGATAGCTCTGTTTCAAAGAGCTAAATGTTCAACTGTAATCCTGAAGATTCTTGTATTGTCTTAGATGTTTCTATAGTTGACTTGATACAGATACACATATTCCCCCACCCCCCCAACCTGAGTAATGAGCAGTAGTCTTTCATTGCTGTGCTGTTGCTCTGTTGATACTCTATAGTCATTACTTGCTTTACACTCAAGCTTTGACCATATAGGTGTAATACTACTCCTATGCTTGTTTTGAGAAACCCCCCCGCCCTGAAAATTTTCCTAGGCTTTTTACTTAGGAAATGAGGGTACAACCTGCTATACTTGGTTCATAGTTCTCAATAAAATGGTTCTTGTTCTATCTTTTTTATGACTGTTAGACTTTTGAAGAGGTAGGTTTTAGTTTCTTTTTTAAGCTTCTTGATCAAGCTTTTAAGCTTTGTTTAATGTAGTCAATTTAAATCTGAATCTTCAGTTTCTGCATATGAATGGTTATTTAATTTCCTTGCATTCTTCCTTTATAGATAATTGGCTGCCATTTTAGGACAATTCCAGTGAATGAAAAGGACACCTTAACATATTTCATCTACTCTGTGAAGAATGACAAGAACAAACCAGATCTAAAGATGGATAGTGGGGTTCATTAGACAGAAAAAGTTGGGACTGAGACTCAGGCTGCAAATCAAAAGACTGAGGGTTTTTGTTGATATGCAAAAGCTTTCTTTGTAACTTTTTTTTCCTCCAGAGAGTTTGTCTCTTATTTTTCATAATCTTGCTGATTTGTTTGAAAAAACATCTCTTATGAAACAAATTTCCTCGGCAAAAGTATTTTAAATAAATATCACTGATATTGTTGCTCAAGTGGGTGTGTCTAACTTATTTAGTGAGTTACTTGTACCTAATAGTTAAGCTTTGACTAATTATGTGATATTAAAATATTTTTCAATTAAATTGTGCCAAGGATATATTTATGAATGTACTTCAAGTTCTCATGATGCAATGCCTTTTAAAAAAAAAAAAAAAAAAAAGCTGTAACAGACTTGGCAATAGGTTCTTTTTCTTAAGGTAAAAGGCTTTAAATGACAGTTCCAGTTGTTACCTGGGCAAAAATGGCTGAATAACATTTTATTTTTTTCCCCTTTGGAAACAAGGATTGATGGGGGCTTTGATTTGTTTATTCATCTTGTCATTGCTGGGATATGTGCTTCCAAGCACTGAGGCCTTCCTGCTCCTATATTGAAATGGAAAAAAATGCAGCTCTCAAATTTCAAAGCTTTAAGTATGGATGAAAAGACTGCTGCAGCTTACTGTGCCGAGGAATCCTTCCACTCGGTAAGAAATCCTTTAGCTGCTGACTTTTTCATTCATCTGCGTAGACTGTGGCTAAGAACTCAATTGGAGAATGGAAGACAGAGTCTGTGCTGGGTCAATATGGTATCTTCTAATAGGCATACTATTTCTTTTTCATTGCATGCATTAGCTCAGGCCTGTTTAAAAAAAACAAAACAAAAGCCACAAACCAAACCTTGTAATAACATAGGAGAAGAATATCCAGCAATACTTTTGCTTTTAATTGAATAGCTTAGTAAAGAAAATGGTATTACGAATGACTTCTTGTATTGTCGTTTAACTATTCTGCCAGTCTAAATGTGTGGTGTATGGAATATGATTTCTGCTTTAAGCTGTGCTTGTAGGTTGAAGAAAAGGTGGAGGGAAAAGAGTTCTCATCTTAAAGCAGAGGAGGACACAGCTTCAGCTTGTTCAGTTAGCATTTGTTGCAACTCATAACCTTATCAGATGTTTAAAAGCTTTTTCTTAATTTGGGAAAAATGAGAAAGCAATATGTCTCTGGTCTAATCTGCTCAATATTAATCTTGTGAGTTTTTTGAAAACTACTACTTTGCTGGCATCACTGCAACTAAGATACTCCACTTTGCTTTTTTGACTTGTGACACTTGCACAGAGCTGAATGATGATAAACCCTAACCTCGAACTGGCTGCCTTCCCAGTAGCTCTCAGTGGCCTGATTTCTTTCACTTGCAGTGTCTTATGTATTTCCACAATAAAGTTCTGCAGTGTTGGCCTAAGTTCAAGACAGTTAGTGATATCTAGCTAGTGGCAGCTAAAATTGGTATTCCTTTGAAGAGCTGTTTTAGTGCCCATTTCACTACAGTGACTATAAAGTTGTTTGCTAAATGTCCTTTGCACAAATTCAGCTGGTCATCTTCAAAGTAGTAGTTGGAGAAACAGCCAGGGAACCTGGCTGTGGATAGGACATCCGAAAGATAAAGGCTTTTTCTCTGAGTGTGTGTTGGGGGTGAATGTTCTCACCTAGGCCTGGCAGGACCTGTAGAAGAAGCTCTGGGAGGGAAGGAGGGTGGGGAGAGAAACAAAAGCAAGTTTCTCTAGGAAATCAGTCTTAAAAGTAGTAGCCCAAGTATCCTGCTGCATGTGGAAAGTGGCAAAATTTTTCTCCAGTGGATTATGGATTTCCCTTAGCCAGGAGTGGTGGAAGGAAAGTAACTGAAAACCACCTACTAACTTACTACCCAGATTTGCATCTGCCTTAAATTTTTTGCTACTGCTGCTTTGGAAAGCTGTGAATGCCAGGCATATGCAACATGATTCATGTAGAAACTAGATGGCACAACCAACAGAAGTTATGTGCCCGTATTACTGCTAGAAGCTTATAGAGGGCTTTGCACAAGAGCAGATACCATATGTTTTCCTAGCAGAGCACTGACTTTGGATATTTTGACTGTGGGTTGCCAGATTTATGGTTTTGTTTTGTTTTTTTACCCTTAATTGATGATTTGGTAGGAAGCCCAAATGACTCAGGAATAATTACACAAACCAGGCTTAAAAAGCCTGGTGACACAAACTGTTTGTTTAACCGTCAGTAGCCTAAAAATTACTTGGCAAAAATAGTACACACAGATTTACTTGAAACATTTATTATTAGCTATGTGTAATCACCCTCCTCCCCCACTATCCAACCCTCATCTACTAACAGAGGAAGAAAAACAGTCATGATGTTTCATACTGCGTGTGAAATAAGTCTGGTAAACTGCTGGTGGTGGTTTTTGTGGTGTAATGCTGTAAGATTATTAGATGAACAGTACACTTTTTGAGTGGAAAAGACTAAATAGTTACTTCAGTACTACACACCTTCCATGTGACTGACTTGATAGCTAGAGTTTTTATATGTAAGGCAATAAGCCAGGCTTGCTGCCTGTAAGCCTGGCTCATTCAGGTGGCTTTCCTTAAACTCATAAAGGGACATTAATTTTTGGCTGTTTTTTTCTTGTATTGCAGTTGGTATTGGCAGGTGTTGAGAGGTTACTGTGTATCTACAGCCTAGATTGTGATACCTCTTAAACATTAAGATGATTACTTCCAGTATTTTGAGATACTGATTTGTCTTCACTTCCCTAGCTATTTCCTTACAGGGCTAGTCTTAAAAATAAAAAGCCAGCGTTTTAACTTAATTCTGGGGTACTGTATTTCAAACAAGGCTTGATTAAAAATAGCTGCTGAAGTGTGGATTTTTTTTGTTGCCTTAACAGACCTTGCATCAGTCCCATCCTCTTTAGATGTCTTTCTGAATGTATATATGTACACACGCACTATTGTAACTGTTAAAGTATTTTTAATGTTCAATGTTAAGATTAAGAAGTTTCAGGTTTTAAGGATCGCATAGTTAATGCAGGTGACCATAATTAAGACCGAAGTGTGCTTTAGTCCTATTAATGTGAGTTTTGCCTCTTCCCCCCCCAGTGGAATTTTCAAATACAAATGGTGAAAGTTTGCCTTTTGTATGTGCATGTATTTTAAGATGCTTAAATAGAACGTGGGAGCCTGTCTGCAGAAGTATCAGGGACTGAGTAGCTTCAGCTTAAAACAACATTGTGTGATGGCAAAAAAGCAATAGGAAGCCGCACTGCCATAGGTCGCAATGAGAGTCACGTTCCTAATGACATGAAGGCTTAGGCTTGAAGTTTCTTCATCCAAACTAATTGAAAATGTTGTGCTGAGTAACAAGAGTTAGGCTTTTTGCTGGGGGCTGCATATTAGGTTGCATTAAGAGCTTGTACAGTCTTTTACACCATTATGGAAATGAAGTCAGCTACCAAATCAGAGAGGAGAACTTCTTACGTATTTGACATTCCAAAAAAGTATAGAAAGGTGATTTTTCCACAGTGTAAAAAGAGGCACTGTCTTGTGGTTAGAAAGGAAGGGGTTTTTTGGTGGGGGGGGGTTCCCCTTGCAAGTATTGTTATGTGATGGTAGAATGACGTCTGTTGCTTCACCGGCAGACTTGATGTTCATCACTGACTGTTGCAGGGGATCACAAAAGATATCTTTGATCCAAAGAAAATATCCCTGAAAGATATTATCAGATATTTAAATAATTAGATTGGTTTATCAGAGCTTTAACATGACATGCATTTCCAGTTGTGGATTTTTTTTTAGCTTATGGTGGGATATATGTGGGATTACTGTGTTTGTGGGATGCTGTTCCAGCAATGCAAATGCAACTGCAGGTCTGGATGAAGGTACTGCATTTCTACCTCTGCTGGCCTGGTTTGGAAGTGATGGCAAAACTTTAATTGACCGACCAGAGTGCCAGGACTCCACCCCGGTATTTTAGCTTTGAGAAAGTAAATTTACCAAATACATAATATTATAAAAATAAAGAACTTCGGCATGTACACTCATACTGTTTAGTGCAATTTGTCCCAAGAGCAGACTTGCAAAGTAAGTCTTCTGTACCTCAGGATGGTTGAAGGAAGACCTCCTTAGGTATTTGTATCAAAGAAAGAGGCTTTATTAGGCTGCTGAAAGGTCAGAGGTTGAAGCTAGAAACCTAAAGTGTGCTTCAGGGTGAGGATGTCATATCCAGTTTTAGGGAAAGTGAAAGATGAAGTACTTAAACCCTGCTTTGAGTTTGAATGTGAGATCTCTAGCTTTAGAATTCATTCCCACTTGGTTCAAATCTATTCCCCCATGGGAATGCTGAAAAGTTGCCTTTCATTGGATTTGGGGGGACTTGAGAAACTTGGGTGGTAAGAGGAGCACATATAAAAAGTCATTTTTGCTTGCCTATGTAATGCCATCACATTTTAGTGTCCCTGAAGTAAGTTTTGAAGTGTTGATGTTTTTAATCTAAATTTCCTGAAGAAAAGATGTTGCTGGAAAGCTGAATGAAATAATACCTCTTAATACATTTTATTACTTCAAACCAGTATGGGCTGGTGGTGTTGTTTAACTCAATATTAATTTTGTTGGCATGTACATTCTTTCTGTAGTACAACAACAAAAGAACCCACGTTCAGTGAGAACTTTGCCGTTTGGCTTTGTCAGCAGTGCCAGTGAGCCAGAGGAGTGTTGATGTTCTTGGGCTAAATCTTTTCCCTCCCTTGCAGGCATTTGTGAACCTCTGTTTCCCCCCTGTTTGCCTTCCTACTTGGAACAGCTGTCATTACAGAATAAGTTATTCAACTGACATATGTGCATGCGCCTTAGAATAGCAATACAGTTCTTTGCCGTGGAACAGAAATCGAATAGGGTTTTTTTATGGTCCTGAAAACATCTTCATTGCAAAGTGCTGTGAATAAAGATTTGGTGTAGTTCTCATACTTAGTTTAGATCAAACAGAAGAGTGAAAAGTTGGGTGATTTAAATGCTAAAGTCCCCTGTAACAGAACATGCAGGTTTATAAAATACGCTAAGCAAGTCCTAGGTGAGCCCCTGAAAAACAAAACCTGAAAACTGGCAGTGTATCAGATAATTGGCTATCTCTTGATATA